AGGGTTTCTCTGTGTAGCTTTGTGCTTTTCCTGGAACTCACTTGGTAGCCCAGGCTGGCCTCGAACTCACAGAGATCCGCCTGGCTCTGCCTCCCAAGTGCTGGGATTAAAGGCGTGTGTCACCACCGCCTGGCTGAGGGTAGGGATTTTCTAAAGGAGCTACTGATTAGAAGAGTTAATGTCAGTTTTAGACTCAGCTGGTTTTGTTGTAGCCTTGGACTTGGAGGAAAATTATGTGCTAGGTTTTATTTTATTTTTGAGACAGGATCTTATGTATTCCAGGTTGGCCTCTTATTCACTGTGTGGCCAAGGATGCTCTCGAACTCCTGGTTTTCCTGCCACTACCTCTCAGGTGCTGAGATTATAGGCGAGCATCAGCTTCTTGAGGTCCCCGTTGAGGCACGTGCTCCTGGTCATGCGTTGATTTGGTGGATCCAGGCGGACTGTGCCTGGGCCACAGTTGCCGCTGTGCTAAATAACACGATAGCGGGCAGTCAGCTCCGGACCGAGCCGTGCAGAGGCTCAGGAGGAGCCCCGGCTTCTGGGTTTCTGTCGCACAGGAGTGGTACTATCAAGACAGAGAGTTGGCTAGGGGTGGTGGCACACACTTTTAATCCTAGCACTTGGGAGGCAGAGACAGGCGGGTCTCAATGAGTTTGAGCCTGGTCTACGTAATGAATTCTAGGCAAGCCAAGGCTACATAATGAGACTGTGTCTCAAAAATACGATACTAAAAAGTGAAAAGAAAGAAAAATAGAATAAAAGAAAAGGAAAAAAATCAACCTCTGGGAGTCAGGCTAGACTTGCCAGTGTTGATGATGTAGCCAAGCAGCCACTTAAAGAGACTAGGTTTTCCCTGAAGTTTCTCCTCCAGTGAAGCTCACAGAGGCTATGAGGTATAACCCAGGATACTAAGGACCTGAGGTTAGAACAGGAATAACAGAAGTGCTGGTGAATGCGTCAAGGAGGACCCTTGCTGTCGGCCAGACACTGCTTGGCTCATCCATTTACTCCAGAACAGCTCCAGGAGGAAGGGATTGCTGTTACCATTCTAAAACACAGAGAGACAAAACGGTTTGTCTGAAGTTCTCCATTGGTTAGGTCCCGTGGGACTGTGACTCTTAGTCACTGTGCCACCATCCTTTCCACAAGGAAGGCAGCAACTCCATCTGTGTAGCACCAGGTTAGTAACCTCGCTCACTTTGTAAAAACCTTGTTGGAAATCCTCCAGACTTTGGTGACATGGAAGCTTGAAAGTCTGTTGAGAAAGTATGTTTTCAATGTATGAATGCTGTGTTTTAGATGTCATCTGGGAAAGAGAATACTGGGAGATGCCCCAGTTTCAGTACATTTGTATTCCTGGGAAGCTTGGTCTAATCTAAATGGTATGAGAACCTTTTTAAAAAGGTGACACTAAGCCATGCACACTTTTAATCCCAGCACTTGGTAGGCAGAGGCAGGTGGATCTCCTAGTTCAAGGCCAGCCTGGTCTACAGAGCAAGCTCCAAGGCAGCCAAGGATACACAAAGAGACCCTGTGTCAAAAAAATAAAATAAAATAAAAAGATGACACTAGAAGACTGTGGGTCGCTCAGTGGTAGGCTGTTGGCTTGTATATGTAAAAGACCTGGGTTTGATGCCCGGCACTGCAAACAGATAAATTAACCCATACTCTGAATGGTAAGCAGTGTTCCCAGTTTTTGTTGCTCTTTAAGTCAAGACTTGGTAACACACGAGTTAGTAAATGTGTTTTGTGGACCATTACTGCTCTCTTCTAGTGAGTCATATCCCTGCGACACTGAGACTGACGCAGGTCTGGAGGCGCAAGAGAAATGAGCTTCACTGGAGAGTTTCTCAGGTGCTTTGCAAATGATTCTCCTTTTTCCTTTTTCTTTAGGATTTGGTCAACACTGGACTCAGCACTTTCTTTTTCTTTATTGCCTCAATTGTACTGGCTGCTTTAAACCACAAAACCGGAGCGGAAATTGCTGCCGTGGTAAGCAGACTGGATCGGTTTAAATAGGCTGAGTTTGCACCTCCAAGTGTTTCCTTGTCCTGGCCTTGGGAGGACCAAGAGATAAGGGGTGGTGGTCAGGTAATAGAAAGGGTCCACTCTCCACGCTCTGTTTCTGCCTTGCTGTTGATTTATAAAAAGCACATATCACTTTTGGGATGGGTGAGGGTGGGTAAGGGGCTTTAAGAACCACTGAAATGGGCCAGCAAGATGGTTCAACAGGTAAAAGGCATTTGCTGCCAAGCCTGATGACCTAAGTCCTATCCCCAGGTCCCACATGGGCAGAGAGGACTGACTCCTACAAACCATCCTTTTATATCTACCTATGTACCATGGTACACACACCCCCAACACACAAATTATGAATAAATAAATATAATAAGCAATTATTTGAAAACTATGAAACTGACTGCTCTTCCAACATGATCAGGAGATCCATCAAGCTTGACTAAATAGTTAAAACTCTACTTCATTTTGCCTGGTGCTGCCCAGGTCAGAGGCAGTAGTGGGGTGTGGTGGTAGAGAACAAGGGACTGGTGGCTTACTGTGGGGTTCTCATGTGACATTCTAACCTTTCTATATCACACTTGGTCTACACTATCTTTTTACTTGTGGGACCAGTGACCATGAATTGTATGCGGTAAAAGAGGTACTTTTGTGATTTAAAAATAAAAAAAGTTCAAAGCCAAATTTGATGGTGCACACTTGTAATCCCAATACTCAGGATTGCCCTAAATTTGACATAGAAAGTTCCAGGTCAGCCAGGGCTACGTAGTGAGGTCCTCAAAATAATATAGTAATAACAATACTATTAATTAATACTTTAAAAAGATAATGGGCTGGAGGGCTGGCTTACTGGGTAAAGTGCTTGCCATGTAGGCATGAGAACCTGAGTTTGTTTCAGTTACCAGAACCCATGTAAAGCTGGATATGTAACAGGTACATTCATAATCCCAACAGTCCTGAGCAAGACGGGGAGAAGGAAATCCCCAGAAGCTCATGGGGTCAGCTAGCATTGAGAGGGCACTAAATGTCACATGACAGAGGCACAGGGCTGGAACAGCCAGTGAGGTTCTTGGACAGCCCCCTAGTGAGCCGAGGGTAGGTGTTGAGTCTTCCATGCCCAGGGCATCTAGACAGCCAGCATGGCCCAAGGCAAGAAACCTTGTCTTAACAAGAAAAGATTGACACCCAAAGTGGCTTTCTGACCTCCAAATGCATGACACCCCTCCCCCCACAGAAAGGGAGGGGGGAAGATTAAATAAACCATGAGGTGGTGGCGCACGCCTTTAATCCCAGCACTCGGGAGGCAGAGGCAGATGGATCTCTGGGTTTGAGGCCAGCCTGGTCTACAGAGTAAGATCCAGGACAGCCAGGGCTACACAGAAAAACCCTGTCTCAAAAAAAAAAAAAAAAGAAAAGAAAAAGAAAAAGAAAGAAAGAAAAATAAATAGATTTAAAAGATTCAAAAGACCTCGTAGTTGTCTTCATGCCAGCCTCGATTTTCTGTAGGTCATGTGGCTTCAGCCAGATAACACTACACACTGGGTAGGGCTGGGGATCTGGTATTGCTGGTAGGGGCTGCACACAGCCTAGGTCCCTATGACAACACCCAGCCTCAGCTTCAGGGCACATGCGCAAGGGTAAACTGTGACTGTGTATTTTAGATATTTGGCTTCTTGGCAACAGCAGCCTATGCAGTGAGCACATTCCTGGCCGTGCAGAAATGGAGAGTCAGCCTCCGCCAGCAGAGCACTAACGACTACATCCGAGCTCGCACTGAATCCCGAGATGTGGACAGTCGCCCTGAGATCCAGCGCCTGGACACATGAAAACCTTCTGGAGTCATTTTCCCACTGCCCTCACACCTATTCTTCTAATCAAGTTTTCTTTCTCTCAGCACGTCAGATTTTTGTGTGATCCAGTTGAATTTTGTCCTGTTTGGTAAAAATTCACTTTGGGAAAGGGTGCCTAGAAGGGCCCAGTGACTGATCTGTGGTGGCCTGAAGAGCCCAGGTTCTCCAGCATTGGGTGCCTGTGGGAGCAGCCAACTTCATTTGACTGCTCTAGCTCTTAACTGTCTCAGAACACACGGTCTCATCTGACTCTGAGCCACCCTGTCATGTGTATTTGTGATGAGTCAAAACTTTATGAAATGGCATTGAGAAGGGCACTACATGTCACAAGATAGAGGCACAGGGCTGGAACAGCCAGTGAGGTTCTTGGACAGCCCCCTAGTGAGCCGTGGGTGGGTGTTGAGTCTGGCTGGTTAGATCCACCCTCCTTGTCTTCCATGACTTTGAGGGGCTTGGCGAATGGATGTGCTCCTGTATCCTCCTTGCCAGGTCTTTAGAATACAGGGACAGGAAAATCTAGTGTCCTGTGGGACCACTGACTCAGAACAGTGACCAGTTGTGTCCTACCCTGCTGAGAAAGCACTTGATCCTGCCTCACATGAGTCCCCTTCCTGTGGTCCGTATTCACTTCCCGGGACAGGGGACCATCCTCTTTGCCTGTCCCCTGCCTACCTTCCATACCTTGAGGCTGGATTGCAGTTTCAGCACTTTTACCTTCTCATGTGAGAGCTGCAGAAGATACAGTCCTTCCACCAGCTGAGGCACTTGCCCACTTGCTGGCCCCATGGATCACATGTGTGTATGTGGAGGCTGGCAGAGTATGTGTATGTGTGTGTGTGTTACAAAGTGGCACACGCCAACTCACACTTCTGTTGTATGGACATGTCTAATTCTCTGAATATCCAAGACAAGCTCTAAAGTGATTCAGAGTCAGTTTATCTAGGATTTGAAAATACTTGAATCTGCACCAGGACACATCTTTCCACAGATATACACGAGGCACTGTTGTCATTTTGGGTACCTGAGTGTCCTCACTATGAACACCAGTCCTGGAACATGTTAGGAATCCTAGTTACATCTGGCTTTTGGGTTGGTTCTTGATAAACTGAAGATTATTTTTGTGGTGAATGAGTTGAGCTGGCCCCTATGATGCTGTAATTTTTTGTTGTTGTTGTTGTTATTAGAGACTAATTATGACTTTTTGGAAAATTGTTTTAACATGTCAGGTTCTCACTCTGAACTGTTGATGTTTACAGACCTTGTTGTAGCTCTGATATTTTGTGTGTAGCCTCACCAAGGAGAAGACATGGCTGGCGGGAAGATATTGCAATAGTAGAGAGCCCCCACTATCTCCTACTGAGACTGTTCACAACCTGAGCAGTGTCCTTTGTAGTTTATAACCCAGAAGCGGGTGGCAAGGCTGGGGAGAGGAAAGTCTGAGGAGGTGCCCCTGTGTGCCATGGCTCTGCATCATTCAGGGAAGAGCAGTGTTATATGGTTGAATAGCAAAAGGGGCTACTGTCAGATACCACTGCAGGGCTCAGGCATCCATAGGAAATAGGATCAGGCTATCTGATTGAGGGAGTACTAGGGACTGGCTCCCTAAACCCAACATCCATTGTAATCCAGTTCTGCTGTCGTTTTCTATTGGCAGTAGTCCAGGTCACATGTTCAAAGGAGAGCTAAGCTAATCTGGTCTAACTCCCCTCCCTGCTTCTCTTCTCCTTCAGAGGGCAGCCTGGGTCTGGCCCTTGCCCAGCTCCTGATAGAGATTTCTGTCCTTGGATGTCATGAGTCAGTCAGTACACTTTGTGTTTTACCAGCTTTGAACCTGTTGCATGTGATGATATGGGAGAGCGGATGGCATCTGGATTTTTATCTGTTAGTTTGACATGGTTATTTTGCATTTGTTGAGTGTCTACACAATCAAAATCGGGCTTCTTTCCCTCCAAGAATTCTCTTTAAAATAGAGTCACAAAGACTTGGCCTGCATCAGATGGGGCCTACTTGGAAGGACCACCCTGAGCTTTATCATGTTACTGGGCCTCGGGAAAAGGACACCTTTGAAGTGAGCCAGAAGAAAGAAGCATTCAGACTGGATTGCTGCTCATTTCCCAAGTCACTCAATAAAACCATTTTATCATGTGCTGAAAGGAGGCCTTCTGAGAGTGTCATCAGCTGAAAGAAATAATCCTGAGGCCCATTGAGACCGTGAATACTGAGATAAGATGAAAGTGGTGGTGTCTTAGGGCCTGAAAGACTTGAGAGCTAGTTGCATCTTGGTGTCAGAATTATCATCTTTGTGATTATTTATATCCCAGTAACTATTTAATATCCTTTGTGCTATGAAGCATCCCTGTGGCTTTTGTATATGTATTTCCTTGTACTATTTAACTAGCTCCCACAGAGCCAGAAGTGGCTTGTACACGTTCTAACAGCATGATGCACAGTCCCAGTCTATAAACCAGTGTGATGAGGAAAAGCCATGAAGGGAATATGGTTGCCTACAGTGAATGCAAAGACACTTGTATTTTTCTTGTGCCTCTGTGCAAACAGAAGATAATATAGATTTGGGGTTTTTAAATAACCCTTGCAAATTGAAAAAAACATATTTTTGTGTTTTAAGTCTACTACAGACCAGTGTCACGTAGGTTTTGGGCATTTTAAGTCAACCTTAGCTTTTTCCATTTCCCTAGGGAATGATCTGGCTTTCCCAGTTTGAGCAAAACTTGAAGGGAAATGCAGTTGTTGGGAACACCTGGGGTGGTCATGGAGCCAGGGGGTTGAAGCCCTCCCTCGTTGGTAGTTTTGATGGATGTAAACACTGACATCCTCAGAGAAGGTGTATTTGGGTGCTGTCTGTTGACTGAGTGTCATCCACCACTACTCTCCTCTACCCTCCCTGCCAAAGGCACAGAGGGTAAGCCCTTTTTCCTTTGAATGGAGAGACAAGGAAACATAAAGATACTTATTGGCTCCTAGAAAGGGTGAACAAGGTGATGGGATGAATTCTCTTCAGAGAAGTTCCATTTAAAGTAGATAGCCATGCAGGGCAGATTGCTTTTGTCTACAAAAGAAAGCAAGAATTCAATAAGCTGCCCACACCCAGTGCCCACATCTCTCTTAGCAGTATGCTAAAATACCAGAGTGGGCAGACCTGGGTACAGGGAACCAGCAAGAACAGCCATGGTCTTTGTGCAGTGAGCACTTGGCCTTGGGGTCTTTTTATAGCCCTTGGCTGGAAGGCTCACACTCATGGGCCTGGTACACCTGGCTTCCACCCTGTGCTGGATACTTGAGGGGAGTTTTATAGCTCAGCTGAAAACATTTCTTCTCTTTTCAAATTTCTTCTATTTTCTTTGAAGTTTTTCTAGTGGTTCGGGCATTCTTCGATGAAATGAAGGTCTAACTCTTGTCCCTGCATGTATGTGAATTCTTGCTTGCCTGGAAGGAGTCTTGGCTAGCTCTGTGCATGACACAAATTGTACTATTTGGAGGAAACGCTTTGCCTATCTATGAGGTGGCCTGAGATTCATCCCTGCCCATGTCACATTCCCTGTGGGTCAGTCTTAGGAGCATGGAGACTTTGTATCTAATGACCATGTAGGCGGTTCCTACTCGGCCATCTGTGTTCAGAACACACATGGTTAGTGTGCTCCTGCCTGACTGCCTTCTTGTCAAGATGTCATCTACATAGCAATAGTGACATTAAGCATGTAGCAGAAGGGATGGGGTATGCACTTCCTGGTTAGAGAATTGTTGACTGTTCTCAAGCAGGAAAAAAAAGCTGCTTCTAGTGTGTGAAGTCTCCAGGTACCTTCTTGTTCCTCGTAAAGTTGCACAGTCTAGGGTTTCTCTCAGAGTCTGGTTTTATCAGCACTTGCCCCCATAGGGGCCAGCTAGGCAGGGAGTTTGGTGGCAGCAGGAGGAGGCTGCAGCGGGAGCAGCGTGACAATATAGATGGTACTTGATGTGTTCAGAACCCCTGCTGCCCTGGAAGCATTCCCTTAACTTCCTCCTCTTCAGAAGAGTGAGGTCTTGTGCACCCTGAATGGACTTGAGGTCAAGAGCTGGATGTTGTTGGAGACCAGCATCCCTCAGTGCTGACATCTAGTCTGGGTCTGAGCAGGTCACATCTGCCTAAGCTGCATTCCAGGCAGGATGCAGACCTAACAGGTCTGTTTTCTTGGCTTTGTTAGTCCCAACTCCTTAGTCTATTGTTTCTCTCTTCTTAGCAGACATCTTTAAAAGAAATCAGACCTGTCTGGTTGAGAAAGTAATTTGAAATATTTGACCTGTCTATGTTTATTTAGCCATTATCTCTGAAAGAAAATACCATCAATGTTAGATCTAGAATTTTCTTCTAAAAGGGAATGTTCTCTTGGATTTCATAATAGTCAATATAGCATTGGATGTAAGTTCTCAGGCTTTGGGAATTTTTTTCCCTTTCTAGTTTCTCCTATTCAAAACAAAACAAAACAAAACCTAAGAGGAAAGGGATATGTGGGTTGAGGGGGCCCAAGTCCATTGAGCTCAAAATACTAGCCTTTTGCCTAGAATCAAATTTAGATTATAGGTCCTTGAACAGTGTATTTGTGCCATTTATGTACCTTGTTGCCCTTTTTATTCTGATACTTTTAATTCAGGTGAGCTTTGGTTAAGGGTTAATGCCACTTGGATTGTGGCGAGTTAGTGGAACTTGTTTGGTTATAGTTATGGTAAGAACGTGTATGGAGCCCTTCAGTCAGCTTTGTTAATGGGGTGTAGGGCAGGGCCGAGAGGTTTGTTTGTCTTTCATAATTGTTTCTGAAAAGAGAGATAGATGCTAATACCCCCGCAGGAATTACCTCGCCCCCCTCCCTTTTGATCAGAAAAGCTACCCAAGGAATGGCTAAGAGAGAAGACAGTGGAGGAAGATTTGTGCCCACTCCAACCCAAGGCAGGGCCAGGCCTGACTGACGCCACTTCCTTCCACTAACCTGCTCTGCTTCCCTGTTTTTTCAGAACCGATTTAGCAAGTTTCACAACTCTGTTCCCTTTTTCGTGGCAGTGAAGAGGACAACCATCCAGGGCTTAAATTGGCCAGGTCAAGGGCTAGAGAGCAAGAGCAGGGACATGCTGTGGTCCTGGCCTACTTGTTCCCAACTCTCATTCCTAACCCATTTAAAAATTAATTCAAATCATGATGAAATTAACCCATTTGCCTAAAATCATTGCTTTTTAATAACTTGATTTTGTTTGACATGGTTCCGTCTGGAAGAATGTTAGGGAGTGTTGGTGTTATTGTGTTCCCCAAAATATCATGTACCCTAATAAACTTATCTGGGGTGAGAGAACAGAAAAGCTACTAGATACTTAGGCTAGAAAATGGTGGCACTCACGCCTTTAATCCCAAGAAGTGATGTCAGAAACAGAAAGGTATATAAGGCAGGAGGACCAGAAACTAGAAGCATTTGGCTGCTTAAGCTTTTAGGCTTTGAGCAGCACAGTTTAGCTGAGAGGTATCCAGTCTGAGAAAACAGGATTACCTGAGGAATTGGCAAGGCGAGGTGGCTGTTTTTAAACAGTATCCCGTTTGCTTGTTACAAAAAGGCGTAATCTGCAAATATATAAAAAAGTCTGCAGGCATCCCATCAGAAATACGGCTCATCCTGTTACTTAAGAAATGCTTTGTAGAGCAACAGTGAATGGCTTGTTGGGTTCTGCGGCGGCTGCGGCAGGCACACAGGGCCAGTAAGGTGTGTCAGCGTGGTCTGGATGGCACCGGTGGTGCCGTCAGAGGCAGACTGGGGGTTGCCGCGGCCTCGCCCTTTGCCAGCCCCGCGGGGGTCCCGGGCGCAGACCACTGGCAGCGGCCCCCCCACCATGTTATTGGGGTGAATGCTTGGAAGATCAGAGAAGCAGAACAAGCCACAGCTACCTCGCCTCTCCAGTTCCTCAGCTGATCCTGTTTCCTTAGACTGGAAGCCTCTGAGTCCTCATCCAGAATGAATCTCAGCTGAACTGTGCTGCTCAAAGCCTAAAAGCTTAACCAGCCAAATGCAAATGCTTTTAGTTTCTGGTCTTCACGCCTTATATATCTTTCTGCTTCTGCCATCACTCCCTGGGATTAAAGGTGTGAGTCACCATGCCTGGCTGTTTCCATGTGGCCTTGAACTCACAGAGAACTAGAGGAATTTCTGCCTCTGGAATGCTAGTATTAAAGATGTGAGTGCCACCATTTTCTAGCCTAAGTATCTAGTGGCTTTTCTGTTCTCTGACCCCAGACAAGTTTTTGGGGAACACAATACCACCACATTTCCCCTTTTTTGTCTAAAATTAAAAAAAGCTTATAACTAATACAAGAAAAGCTATCTAATAATTATATTACTGGAAATAGGTAAAAAGCATGGCATCACGGAACTGCATTTAGATGTAGTAAGTTACGTGTCTCATGCCACACAGCAAAGGCTACATGCAGAATCTTGTAGAAAAAAATATCTGAAACAGCTCAGCAGAAAAACTTCTCTTATAAGGATGAGGACAGATACAAGCAAGCGAGTGATGTCCGGGCTCACTTCAAATTCTTTGAACAGCTTAATCAGATTGAAAAGCAGAGGAAAGATGAGCAGGAGAGGGAGATCTTGATGCAGGCAGCAAAGTCTGGGTCCAGACATGAAGACCCAGAGCTATTAAGGTCGAAGCAGAAGGCAAAAGAGATGCAGCAGCAGGAGCTGGCATAGATGCAGGACAGCAAGATGCCAACCTCACAGCATTGGCAGTCATCAGGCCCAGGAAAAAGAGGAAAGTGGACTGTGCTGGGCCAGGATCGGGAGCAGAAGGCTCAGGCCCAGGCGCAGCGGTCCCAGGAGGCTCCGGCGTGGGAACCCCCAGACAGTTCACACGGAAAAGAATCATGCGGGTCAACCTCAGGGACCTCATATTTTGTTTAGAAAAGGAGTGTGAGACAAGCCATTCACTGTTGCTCTACAAAGCATTCCTTAAGTAACAGGATGAGCCGGTGTTTCTGATGGGATGCCTACAGACTTTTTTTTTATATATTTGCAGATTACACCTTTTGGTAACAAGCAAATAGGATATTGTTTAAAAACAGCCACCTCTGTGTAGCTTTGGAATCTATCTTGGAACTCATTCTATAGCCCAGGCTGGCCTGGAACTCAGAGAGATCCGCCTGCCTCTGCCTCCCAAATTCTAGGATTAAAGGTGTGTGCCACTATTGCCCAGTTTGGTAAGACTTCAGTAATTCAGAAATATAATTCATGAGTAAGGCTTGCTGGACCACAGCACTAGAGAGCTGGAGAGAAGGATGAAGAGTTTAGGCTAGCTAGGCTTCATGACATGTCCCAAAACAAAGGGCAGCAGGGGTATTTCTCTTTGAAGCTCCTCACTCAGCTCTTCTTGTTTTTCCTTAATAAATCTGTACAGTCTGCTCAAAAACAAAACAATAACAATGCTAGGTGGTCGTGGTACACACCTTTAACCCAACATTCAGGAGGCAGAGGCAAGTGTATCTCTGAGTTTGAGGGCCAGCCTGGGCTACCAAGTGAGTTCCAGAAAAGGCGCAAAGCTACACAGGGAAACCCTGCCTCGAAAAACCAAAATAAATAAATAAATAAATAAATAAATAAATAAATAAATAAATAAATAAATAAAGATAAAAAAATTAAAACAGCCACCTCACCTTGCCAATTCCTCAGGTGATCCTGGTTCCTCAGACTGGATGCCTCTCAGTTGAACTGTACTGCTCAAAGCCTAAAAGCTTAACCAGCCAAATGCTTCTAGTTTCTGGTCCTCATACCTTGTATACCTTTCTGTTTCTGCCATCACTCCCTGGGATTAAAGGCTTGAGTCACCATGCCTGGCACTTTCCAATGTGACCTTGAACTCACAGAGATCAGACGGGATTTCTGCCTCTGGAGTGCTAGGATTAAAGGTGTGAGTGCCACCATTTCCTAGCCTCTGTATCTAGTGGCTGTCTTGTTCTCTAACCCCAGATAAGTTTATTAGGGTGCACAATATTTTGGGGAACACAATACCACCACAAGGGAGTGAAGCTGTCTGTGTATGTTGAAGTTTATAGGAGTTTAGGAACCCATGGCAGAAACACTAAGCTATTTATTACAGTCTGTGTGGTTTTTTTTAAAGTAGGCAATTCTGTCTTTGTATATTTTATGATAAATAATCACTTCACCTTTGGTGCCTTCCATGTGTCACATAAGCACTCTTGTCAATCATGGAATCGGGGGGGGGGATACATTTAGTTAAAACAGATACACTATTTTTGTAGCATGATTATGTCCTCTCAATATTGCTTTCCACAATATTGGTCTTGAAATTTGGGCTATTTTCCTCTTAAACTTCCTATGTATTTTTCAAAGTCAAACTCCCACCCATTGCACTGTGTTCTGCTTGTTGGGTCTGAGAGGCAGAGGACATTTCTAGAAAAAGTTATGTCCCTGTAATTCTATTTGACATCACTCAACTGTTGGTTAGGACTGGGGGAGCTGCTGCTCACCAACAGGAAGAAGAAAGTGGTCTCATTTCTTCAAGTTCTGTCTGTGCCCCTGCCTTCCTGCTCACTGAGTCTGACAGGAAGAGCTTGCATTTGGCTCCTTGCCCTCCTACCCTAGCCAGTCTCCAACTGTTCTCTGGCTGTCTCCTAGGATAGGCAAAGTGCCACTGCTTCCCAGCAGCACCTCAGACTTGCTCTGGGACTCACCCCATTTGGATTCCAGGTAGGGTTGTAGATGCCCCTGGTGGGTAGCCTGCATTATGGGTAGCTGGAATGCAGTAGATTCCCTGCTGTGGCGGGGCTGGATAAAGCCAGGGCACGGTGACCCAGCCACTCATTCTGCTTTCCTGGCCCTGCACTTTGGAGTTGTCTGGTATGGATTCTCTGAGACATTAACTTGTAGCTCTTTGTCTTTGTCCTCTTGTCAAAAGTCAAAACATGTAATTCTGTGAAAAAAAAAAAAGTCATCAGGTGGCCGAATGACAGCTTTCTGCCAGGATGGGCCACTGACACTTCATTTAACTAATGGCACAATGTTAATAGTTACCACGTTTTGTTTCTGTAGTCTGGTAGTCTTGGCTGGCCTTGAACTTGTAGCAATCGCCCTGCCCCTTTCTCCTCAATGCTGGGACACAGGAGTGTGCTGCCATGCCCAGCTAAAGTTTTTCCTTTTGGCGGTTTATAGACATGGCTGTGGGCATTCCAAGGTGAAGGCTGTTGAGTAGACTGATTTGTGTGGTTTGCAGTAGTGAGCTTTGCCTCCTGGCTCATCTGACATGGCTACCATGGGTAGGCCTCCCTCACTCCAGGTCTGACTCCTGTGCTTGAAATGAGGGGTGCGGGGGCCCTGTGGCATTTGCTCCCATTGATTTGCCCCAGATGGCAGACAAAGCCTCACACTGTCCTCAGCCTCCCCACTTTCTCCTTTGAAGGACCAACTTTTCATGGTACTTGTCTTGATTGTTTTCATAGTGTTCAAATCTGTATTTTTGTATGTAGAGGGAAATAATTTTCTCAACACTAATCACTAATGAATACTGTATTGTCATGAAGGAGTTCTTGTTTAATAAATGGACATATAAAAAATGTTTTAGTCTCTTCTTTCTCCCCAAAGGCTTTAGACCCCACTTCTGCAACAAGCTTGCTCTGTGGAGGTGCCACGGTGCCACAGTCAACAGGCTGTAACCAGACTGTACAACAAGTACCAGTTTGCCAGGCTTCAGGGCATTGCAGAGCCTCTCTGCCTCTGACTACCCACGCGTTTCAGTGTGTGTTCAGTGACAGTGAGCAGAATGCTTTGCTGCTTTCCATGTGCTTGGGCCTGAGCACTGACCCGGGTCCTCGTAGCAGCTGCTCTGAGGTCCCTTGCTCATGAAGCCCCAGGTTTTGACTGTCAGGACACCATCCTAACCAGGGTGTCTGCTTACCCTTTACTGCCTTGACTGTAGGATTGGGTAAAAGATGCTAGCCCGATGTCCAGCAGAGAGAAGTACTGCCTGGCCACTGACGTCAGCCCTCAGGACTCACAGTGCCTGCTTGTGTTGAAATGGGCAGTTACTGTGGGCAGCGCGTGGGTTTCTCAGTCAGGCACACTCTGAACAGGTAGTCAGTTTGTTTTAATCCATTGTGGCATTCTTTTAGGGAGGGGATTCACATGCAAGGTAGGAAGGTTACAAATGCCCAAGACATGGGCCCAGAACTCTGGCTCATTCATGGGGCCTCTTGGGTCACAGAAAATGCCATTTGTTACTTCACTTTTGAATAAAAAAGAATTACAAAAAAGTTAGAAAACATCAAAGACATACACAGGATCAGCCCCCAAGTGAACACAGAGAAGGCCCATGTCACCAGTGGACCTGCCCAGGTGTCCAAAGGAAGCACGTTGTCTTAGCAACCCCAGGAGGAGAGGGCTTGACTGGGCCCGCCCAGCCACTGTGACTTTGTCACTGCCTCTGCAGTTGGCTCCCTGTCCGCTGGCCCTGGAAAGCAGGTCTTTGGGCTCTTTTCTGGAAAGGTCTCAGACCCACCATGCAAGACTTCTCCCTGCTTCACAGTGAGGAGGGAGACTCCTTGAACAAAGATTCCTGAAAGTCATCTCAACAAAGTGCAGGTGTGAACAGGAGCACTCCATGCAGAGCCCACTGGGGCTGGGTGGGTCAGCCTGCTGTGGTTTCTGTCTGTCCCTGTAAGTGAAGGACAGCCCTGCCCCACCCTGTGCTGCCACATGAACTGCAGTGACTGGCTCCATGTGACACATCTGCTTCTGTGGGGCACTGAGGTGAAAAGGCTCAAGGTCTTTAGGACCGAAACAGGAGAACGTAGGCTATTCAAAGTGCCCTCATGTGCTAGCTCAGCAGACGAAGCCAGCACAGCCAGTTTGGAGTGTGAGGCTCAGGAGCGCCATCTCGAGAGACTGGCTCCCTGGTCTGCTCTCCCATGGGCATCCACTGCCATGCTTCTGTAGCCGCATCAGGACGGTATGGGTGGGAGGCCTAAGTGCTCCAGTTGCCAGGCGCAGACAGGCCTTCAGTCAGAGTCCGAGTCCGAGTTGGAATCATCTTCTGGAAGGAAAGTAGAGGATGCTGGCAATGGTGCCTGGAGCATGGGATAGGAGGCGGCGCCAGCAGACTGCCAGCAGGAGCTCTGGGCCCAACCTCTCCCATCTTAGCGGCAGGCTGGGCCCTGGAGCACAAGGGCATACAGAGCAGGCACTTCTGCTCAGCCCAAAGCTCAGATGCTTCCTCCCCAGGGGGTCCAGGCATGCCCAAGCTGTCCACTCTCACCTGAGGATGCTAGAATTGTATACCTGCACCTCTTTCTCTACCCTCATTCAGCAACTAATTTGTCCCTGAACTAAAATACATCAGAAAATGGGCAATCTTTTTGTTTGTTTATAAAGCTATTTTATGGGTTTAGTTCTTTATATATTATTCTATATTGTGAAATGAATATAAAGCATTTTATCGTGTAAAGTCAATTAGTGATGTAATTTTAAAGGCTCCTGGAATCTTACTGTTAAAGATTATTCTGTAGAACCTCCTAGAACCTCATGCCTCATAAGGCAATTCACTAGTGACTGACCCTAGCACTGGTGGCTGTGTTTTGATGCTCGTCACCTCCCTCTCCAAGCCCTGGTTCTTCCCCCTCATCCATTAGCCAGGGTTGTATAAGTAGGACAAGTTTGCTGTAGTCATATCTAACATAAAGGCCAAGAATACTTTTGCTGCAAAAACAATTGTTTTATATTAGAACAACACAAAATATTCAAAATGCATGTCTCCATGGACATTTATGCTCTGATCCCTGAGCTGGCTGACCAGCATTTGCTGTAGGTCCCAAAGACTAGAAGACAACATCCAGGAGCATTTTAACCTGTTTGCCACAGACCAGGGATGAGTTTGGAGTGGCATACATTTTTAGCAGAGGGACAGTGTCTGGGAATCCCAATGGGAAGCTGGTGGCCCCTAAACCTAACCAATGAGGTTCTACTTCATACATTTGGTACTCAATGGGGAGGATCCTACAGCCAAGACCAGCCCTGAGAGCAACTGTCTGGCTAGTCACAGCACTGCTGGCCAGCCCCAGAGAAGTACCTGGCACTTTCTTTGGAAAAAAGATCCAAACAAGCCAGGTAAGGGTTGCCATGAGTTTGAGACCTGCCTGGGCTATGAAGTGAGTTAGTTCTATGCCAGTTTGAGTTACACAGGTCCTGTTTCAAAAACAAAACATCCAAACAAAAACCAAGCCACACTGTGTCTGTGTTTGCCTAGGTACTGTGGGCTTCCAAACAGGAAAGAAGAAAGGGGAAGGAGGGTCTAGTGGGTTGGTCCCAGATGGATTGACATCCTGACTAGCTGCCCTGGGGACATTAGGGTGTCCTACAGGGCCAGAGGTCCAGACATACACTCACTTTACCTTCCTGCTAGTTTGTAAAACATTTCCTACTTCCTTCAGCCTCAGACTAACCAAGTATCCCCAAGGAAGGACAGATCTATCCTAAAAGTGATCATCGAGGTTCTTCAGAAACCATGCCACTCACCTCCTTCTGTCCTGTGGGCTGTGGGCTCGTTCACAGAGTCTCCTTGCTTGAGGAATTTGGCCACTTCATTAAAGATCAGGTAGAAGTCAATTGCAAACACAATGGTGGCAAAAAAGCCAAAAACCTGTGGGATACATACATGGCATATGGCAGGGACCATGGACAGGATGGATGGAAACATGAGGACTCTGGGTTCATGGACCAGGAGACTGCGCATATGCAAGCAACACTGACAAAATGGCCCCACCAGGACTGATGGGCCGGCACAGCCTTTCTCAGTTATGGCAGATCGAGGAGATGGGCTGTGAGCCTGGTAGACACAGCCTCTCAACTCGGGACAGACTAAATTTTGAATTAGACTGGAAATGGCAGAGACCCACATAGGGACCCAGAGCCTAAGCAGGGGCAGGACATGCCCAGGCCCCACTGTAGAAGTGGGTGCCAAGAGGGATGACCTGGAGCATCAGGGAAGGGGCACTGCTGGGTATGTCCCCCAGGACATAGGGGTAGGGCAGCCACTCACTCCAGCTGCTTTGTAAGCCCCGTCTGAGTATTTGGCGACAGCAGTGATGGAGATGACGAAGTAGATGAGGGCAGCAGTGACACAGCGCAGGAAGTCCTGAGGAGAGAGGGACATGTCCACACTGTTCTGACCTCCCACAATGTGGCAGAGCATGGGGACCCAACACACTCAGCCCTAGCACCCGTGGAGTCCCTGTCCTGGCTCCACCTGCATGCTCTGGCCCTGATCTATTCCTCGTGTGTCTTGTTCTGCAGGCCTCCAGTAGCTTATACTGCCCCCTTCCTGGTCCCGCTGGATTTTCTCTGCCCTGTGGGTAGCAAATAGGGTGTATACTATGTTACAGCTGGCTCTGCAGCTTGGCAAAAATGGGAAGTGGAGAAAGTCTAGCTTTCCAAGAGGCTTGGCTTTGCCACAGTGAGATCCATTTATGATCATAGTCTCTGCTTAGTCCTCAAGGTGGGGCTGCAATGAGGGCAACTATCACCAGGTAGTTGGATGCTGGAGATAAATTCTCGAGAGCAGAGTTCAAGCCTAGCCTCTGCTGCCTATTTTCTATGATGCATTTTATCCATTAAAGGGCACTCTCTCGGGACTGTCAGGCCTCAGGTGATCAAACAAGGGGACTGTTAGACCCTCTGGTGATCAAACAAGTCCAGGTGCCAGATGACTAGAATCTAGGAAGTCCCACAAGTCCTCAGTTACCCCACCCTGGCGCAAATGGCTTGAATGCCTGTGGCTGAGGCACATTCCTCCTCCAAGATCAGAACAACAGCTCCACCTGGTGGTCAGAAGCCTTCTTTGGTTGCCCAGCTTCACAGACCAACCAGCTCAGGAGGTCTTAACCACTTGCATCAAGTCCCACCATCCCAGTGCTGCTGGGTGGGCAGGGGTGGAAGTGTGAGGGTCCTGATTTAAAACTGCCCACTACTGTTGAAGACAGCAGGGCTGAATTGTAGAACCCAGATTCTTCAGGTGATCCCCGATCCTTACCATCATGGGCCAGCACAGGCCCTGCCATTTGTCATTCAGCTGCATGGCATCAGCAAAGAGGAAGTAAACAGCCAACAGAAACTCCAGCAGAGGTACCGTAAGGAAGGCAGATGCCGAGGCCACCACATAGCAGACGAAGGTAATGAATGAAAGACCCTGTGGAAGAGCAAAGAGAGTCGAACCCTCTTGCCACCCTCCAGTCCAGGACAGACCCCTGCTAGTACCTCATCTTGAAACCCTCCACCTCCCCCGACTCACCACACAGGCCACCTTGTGGAGCTTCTCAACTCCTTTCCAGGCTCTACAATCCAACACACCCAACAAGGCTGTGTCCACAAGGGGGCAGGCTGGAGCTAAAAGCTACTGCTTTCAGAAAGTCACACCTAAAACCGAAGACGTGTACTTTTCACGAGAACCCTAACTTCCTTTAATGAGGACACGCATGCTGAAGTGGTTGAAGTTGAAATGTACTGATATCTGCAATTGAGTGTGAATGTGTAAAAACACAAGGGAGGTTGATGGAGGCAGGTGATAAAGCAGGCAGAGCAGTGTTAGCCACTGTACATTCAGGTGGTGGGTGCAGGGGTGTTAATGTAGATCTTTTGACACTCTTGTGCATCTGCAAATCTTCATTAAAAAAAAAAAACTATGTATGAGGCTAGAGATACAATGTAGCTCTGCTGGAAAATTTCTTGCCTAGTACACACAAAGCTCTGGGTTCGATCCCAAGCACTGCATAAACCAGGCTTGGTACCTGCCTAAGATCCTTGAACTTGGGGGGTGTAGGCAGGAAGATCAGAGGTTCAAAGTCATCCTCAGCTTTATATATATAAAGTTTTAAGCAGCCTGGGGTCCATAAAACCCCATCTCAACAAAATTCTAACTCCCTGGGAGACAGCATTGACACTGGGTCCCTGCTGTACCATTCAGCTAGTGTGTATGAAAGGCGGGGCTAGCTGTACTCTGTCTACAGAAGCCTGGCCCACGAAGCTGTAGTGTGGAAGATGCTAAGGTCGCTGGCTAGTCCTGCAGTCTTTGTGCACGGCAGGGGAACAAGATAAAGGTGCTAGATCTAGATCAGAGGCTTTTGAAGCTCGATTCTTGCTCATTCTTCCTAAGACTTCTAGACTTCTCTGCTCCTCAACACCGCTCATGTGCCACTCAGCCTGTCTTTAAAAGGAGCAGACTTGGTGTCACCCAGCTAATAGGAGGGTATCACAATCCGTACTTAGGGCAGTAAAGGTCTTCATCTTCCTTGGCGTATATCTACCACTACGGCTGGGTTTGAGCCTGTCCATGGCTCAGTAGTTTTAAGGGGCCGAGAGGGAAAACTCGGATGTCCCATAGGAAGTACTATGGCTGCTTCAGACAAACAAACTGATCTCAGGGACCCCACTCCCACCCCTTTCCCTGAACATGCCATGGGGGAAGCTGAGCTTCCCTTGGGCAAACAGGAAACAAGGCTTAGAGAAAGGCTTTTTGAGATTGTCAGGTCATCAACCCCCACTGTATTTCCTTCCCAAAGGTTGCTCTTATGTCTCTCCTCTTTCTGTTTTCATTCCTCCCTTCAATTAAGTCTGACTGGTGACACTCCCACCCCACACACATAACACACCTCGAGTCCTGGTTTCTCATTCCCCCATTCTTGGTGGCCACTTCCCCTAGGTTCTTATCCATGTCAGACTTCCTACTTGCATGGGACCGAGGGAGGAAGGACTGGGAGTGGCCTCTGTACCCTGTGAGCTCACTCCTTACCCTTCTTATTTCCCTAGGCCTGGATTTCTGGCACGTAGCTAGGCCAAGGACATCTTGTGAATTCTGGCTGGCACTCACCCCTTCTCCATGAAGGGGTACTGGGTAGAATAGGACTGAAGCCTCCTCAATGCCCTGTGATTCAAAGACACCCCCACCCCCCGCGGCTTCCAGAGATGGTCAGTCTAAGAGTGGGCTCTAGGACTGCTTGATACCTCACTTAGAAACAAAGTATTGGATTCTACTAGTGACCTCAGGTTGATGCCTCCTCCATGTGTCCTGGGGTACAAGGGAAAAGTCCTACGGCGGAAACCCTCCCATTTATTCTCAGGACCCCTCAATTGAGTCATCTGTCAAATTTCCTAGATGCAGTTAAAGGCACTTTCGGTCTCTCTCATCCCCCCACCCCCCCTTAAGTGGGACAGATCAGATATCAAGTTGCTAGGGAAGATCAGATATCAAGTTGCTAGGGATCTAAGCAACAAGTGGCTGTCGCCATGGGTTGTTTCCTCCTTCCATTGTCCTTCCTCCCGCCCCTCTCACCATCTCCATAGGCCCCATGCCAGTTCCCGCCCCACACGCGATGATGCAGGAGTGCTGGGAGGACAAAGGAGACTTTCCTAGTCGGGTGGGGACGAGGGGGAAGGAGGAAGGAGCGTGGTTGGGGAGGGAGGAAGAAGGGGATGAAGTCACCCCGCTGGCTCTCCACCCTGGGACAGCAATCTGCCTGCACCTTCACTACGAATCCCCGGCCTCACCCACTCCCAGGGGGCTCGTCCCACTCGGCAGGATCCGCACCCCACGGGTGGCCGGGTCTCACCCAGGGAGGTGGGAGGGTGTGCAGAACGGGAGGTCAAGGCTTGAAGGAGCCATGGGAGCGCAGGGCGGAAGCGCTCGAGGTCACACAGCGGCCAGGCCACGGCGGCAGCAGCGACCAGGTCCAAACCCGCGTCCTCTGGTCCCTTTCGAGGGCCTCTCAGGCTGGAGAAGCCGGGAAGACCGCGGCTCCGGCCTGACTTTGATTTGCACTCAGCTAGAGAGAAGCCGTCGCAAGTTTGGGGGCGGTGGCCCAACTTTGCGCGCCTCTTCTGGGCTGGGGGTGCGGAGACCCGGCTTCGGGCACCCGGGGAGCCCGCGCACTCACCGACTCGGCCAGCAGGAGGCGGCCTTTGAGCGAGCAGAGGAAGGCGCGCGCGGGCAGCAGGGCGCGGAGCCCGGGCACTGTCCTGCCACTTCGGGGGCGGTCCGCGGACTCCGGATCGGGCTCCGGATCTGCGTCGGGGGGCCACATAGCGGCGCTCTTTGTCGAGCTCCGGCCTCACTGCCTCACCCAATGTCCTGGAGGGAAGCGGAAACCCGCTGTGCGGAAGGAGAAAAAGTGGAGTTAAACTAGGCTGGGACTCATCCTCCGCTGCCCCGCCTCCACCACTTTCAATCCTCCCCCAACTCATCTCCACCCACAACTGCCCCTCGGACCCTGCCCCGCCCGTCCCCCCGCCCTCCATTCTCCAACCACCCCTACAAAGTCGCTGGGACGCTGTCCTACCCATCCCTCCTCCCCCATCTCCCCATTCCCATCCCTGCCTCCCCCACTGCCCCTCTGACTCTACCCGGCCCATAACCCGCCCCCAATCCTCCCCCTTTAGACCTAGTCCAGTCTGTTTCTCCCCGCCTTCCATCCTTTCACTTCCACCCTCTGCCCCTCACTACCCCTAGGATCCTCCCCCCGTCCGGTCCTTCCATTCTCAGTTCTCCCTCGGACTCTGCCGCGCCCACTTCCCCATCCGTTGACACTCCCTACCCCCGCACCACACTGCCTCTCCTACCATCCATGGCCCTTTATCCTCCAATCACCCCCACATTCTCCTCCTCCCTACTCCCCCACCCCATTCCCGTCCTTCTCCCTGTCTCCCACATCCTCCTTTACCCGGCCCCACCTATCTCCTGCTCCATTCTCCCACCCCTTTCTACGCTGCCTTCTAGGGCCTACCTCCCCATCTCCCCCACTCCGCCCTGCCCCCTTGGAGTCTGTACCCAGGTCCTGCCAGTTCTCTCGAACCCCAACAGCTGGGTCTGCTTTGTGCTGCCTGCTGGCCTGGAGTCTTCTAGTATTGTTTGTCTCCTCACCCCATCCGGCGGACACAGACCCACTCATTACCTCCCTTGAGCGCTCTGGAGCGCGACTACCTGGGCGCCTCTGCTCTCTGTCCTAAGCTTTCTGCCCTACACCTTCCAGGAGCCTAGACATCTCTAGGGTAGGGACCCTCTACCTGGTCCTCTCCTGGCTCGGCTTTAACCAAGCTGTCAGCTCTTGCAGAGTCCTACCCCACTCTCAGCTCCTCTCGGAGTTTCTCCGGTAATTCCCCAGCCACCCTCCCGCTGGTCCTTGGCTAGCCCATCTTCCTTCTTCTCTGAGGGCTCGGAGTTTCCCCGCCCCAGCCGTTTCCTTGGCCACACTCAGGTTCTCAGCCTCTCCTCCTTCCGGGCTTGGGTTCTTCCTGCGCTGGACTAACCGGAGATCTGGGAATTGTCCTGGTCCTCCCTCAATGTTAGCCCACCACCAAGGCTATCTTGCCACCACTAAGTCCCACACTCCAGATCCCTGAATTGTTGTGGGGCTCTTTAAGAGGCCTCTGCTTTCTTCCTTGTCAGCCGGACATGCTTAAATCACTAATCACGCTCCCTTCCAAGGCCCCCTCAAGCAAACTGATGCTCCCTCTTCCACAGGGCCCTTTGTACATCTGTCCCTTCTGACGATGGGTGTGTGTGTGCACCTTCATACTCTTGTGCTTAGGTGCTGGTAGAGACCAGGGGTAGTCTCTTATTTTTTGAGACAATCTCTCACTGAACTTGGAGCGCATGGGATTTCCACAAGACTTACCTTACCTGGCCAATGAGCCCCAGATGTTCTGTTTCTGCCCTCCCAGAACTTGTATTACCACTTTATGTGGGAGCCAACTCAGATGCAGCTGAGGTCCTCATGCAGGAAGCTCATTATTGTATGATCGTCTTTCCGGCTTCCACTTCTACCGTCTTACCTGGTGAAGGTTTTCTCCACACCGATGGTAAGGCAGTGTGATTTCTTCAGGAAGACATTTCTACATTCCCTTGTCCATTCAGAAGCAGTGCAAGAAAGGCAGGATGTGAGGAAGCCCCAGTGCCTAGGGTAGGGGGCAGGCTGCACCAGGTAGCCCTGAACAGGATGAATCCTGGCAGCGCTGGAGAGATGGCTCAGCTGTTAAGAGGACTTGCGGCTCTTCAAAGGCTCAGTTCCCAGCACCCACATGGTAGCTCACAACTATCTGTATCAGCTCCAGGTCAAGAAGTGGCACAGTACCTCCTTCTGGCCTCTTTGGATGCCTCATAACATGGTACCCTCATAACCATGCAGACAAAACACACATTAAAATAAAAAAGAAAATAAAAATAGGGCTCAGTAGTTAAAGGCTAGGCTCATAACCCAAAAATTAAATAGCTAAAAATAAAAAGGGGTTCTTGGGCTTTGCTGGCCGGTTTAGAGATTAGCCAAGTGGCATTAAAAAGAAAAGAGGACGTTGATCAGAAACTGGGGCAGGACTTGGGAGGATGAGACCCTGGTACCCAGTTTTCACTCACAGTACCCAAGGAGGACACGGCAGGGTTCTAAGAGACCCACTTCTGATCTGTATTGGGAAAAACATGGCTGGCTGTAAATTGAAACTCAATAATAAGGAAATGGACCAGAGATTCGACAGGTAACTTACCAGAGGAGAATGTTGAATAAATTAGCATATTGGAAAGGGAATGGGTGGGGGCTGGAGAGTTAGTTCAGCTGTTAGGAGTGATTGCTGCTCAATATTGATAACTAGAATTCCAATTCCAGTAGCCATGGGACAAGCC